CAACTAAATACAATGAGTGACCCATTAGTAAAAACTAAATAAATGTTCAGGCCTTTTTTAAACATTTGGGAGATACCTGAATATAAGATGCACAATATATTATATCATGTTTGTAGAAGGTAGAGGCTGAAGGTTTTAAAAGTCAAATATCCTGATGTTTGAAACTTAAAGTGGTTCCAAGGTGCGGGGCGGGGGGTGGAGAGAGGAGAGAGAGAGAGGAGATACAGAGTGTGGGTTTGAGGGTGGATAAAGCAAATATGGTGAAACATTTATAGTTGGTGAGTCTAGAGTAAATGTACAAGGTTATTCATTATCCTGTTTTTTTCAAAGCTAAAGTTAGGGGAAGAAGATAAACAGAAATGGACTATACTCTAACTCCTCATTATTAAGCATACTTTTTCAATTGTGGCAATGCTTTAGAAATATAAAGATATACCCTCCTTTATAAAGAAAAGAAAATTACCGTGGACCCCCCCAAGTAACCTAAACTTTTAACATCATAATGCTATTACTATATATATATATATATATGTGTGTGTGTTCGTGTGTGTGTGTGTGTGTGTGTGTGTGTACTGTAATGCTGTAGACCATCCTCATATGCTCCTATCTCTTAAGTAACTATAAACTCAGAACAAATTCTAATTATTAATAAAAGCAATAAAAATATAAAATCAAGAAAATTCAAAATATGGCATAATAACAATAATTGGATTAACTGGTACATTTTTTGCTGAAAATAAGTTACCTCTTGAAATAGTAAATGGGTTCTGAGTACTCCATACAGTTTCTTTTGAGGTTGTCTGCCTAGAAACATCTGCCATATTATACCTCACTGTAGAACCTTTGTGCATTACACAGTTTTTAGCTACTGTAAAACTTTTCAGCAGTACACAATTACCAAATTTAACCTTATATGCCTTTATCTTTTATATATTACACCCCTTTTGTATTAACTTGATAATAAGTTAGTATATTATTATGCAGTACTACGTTATTTTTATAATACCAAATTATTCTTATGAAATAACTTGAAAAATTATTTATTAAAATACTTTTGAATTGTGAAATACTGGAGTATTGTTACTGTTTGACCCAACTCAAAATCTTCATGGGAAAATACCTGCCCATACCCACAGTATTGTTGCAAATAATTAGTGCTGTATCACAGCTATGTCAGACTGTACTACCAGTTGGGCAATCAAGGACACAGCCAAAAATTTAAAATGAAGATCTGGACAACAAAAGATGGGAGTCAAGAAGCTCTGACATATACCTAGTTGTAGAATGCTATGCACATGTGCAAGGTGTAGTGTGCATATCCAGCAAAAACTGAAGAGACTCCCAGTCTTCATCTCTGCTGAGCAGGAAGTGAAGGATAAGGCAGATTTAAGCTTTGAAAGCATTCGCCATCATACACACAGATCCCTTTGGCGGAGGGTAGAAGACATAATGATGCAAAGCATTTAAAGAAATCTTGTTACTACTAAGTGTTGCTGACCTAGGAATAACTCTTACTCAGCTGGACTTAAAAATCAAAACAAAAATAAATTAAAAACTCATTAAAGATGTCAGTGGCTCCATGCAGTAGAAATTACAGGCTGAAAGATGTAGTCCCAGAGAAGTCACTAAACCACAAACAGCAACACCACCAATAGCAAAAACCTAAGCTGGAAGAAAACCAGGAAGATCTGAGTCTACAATTGCCACATAATATTTTCCAAAATGTCTACTTTTCAATAAAAGTATAAACAAGAAAAATTCTTAGTGGAAATTATCCTAGATATAGGGCTTATTAAACAGAGACTTTAAATTACCTATTACAAATATATTCAAAAAGGCAATTAAACCACAAAGAGTTAAAGGAAAAAATGACAAATATACTTCATCAAATAGAGAATATTAACAGAGATAAAAACAAATAAAAATTCTGTCGTTGAAAGTATCATAACTAAACATGAAAAATTCATTAGATTAATGAGAAAATTTGAGCTGTCAAGGAATCAGTAAACTGGGAGATAGGTCAGTTGTGATTATCCATTGTAAATAATACAAAGAAAAAGAATGAAAAAAATGAACATCAGAAACCTGGCGACACCATCAAACATGCCAACATTTTTAGACTTCCAAAAGTTAGGGGGTGGTGTGTAGAAAATATTCAAAGAAATAATAGCCAGTATTTTCCCAAATTGGATGGAAAACATCAATCCACACATCCAAGAAGCTCAATAGACTCCAAGTAGGTAAGATGCACACCTAATCACATCATATTGAAACTACTGAAAGGCAGGGAGAGAATCTGGAAACAGCAATCAAAAAGTTGCTCAACAAGTACCAGGGATACTCATTAAGATTAACAGCTGAATTCTCATCAGAAACCATGACTGCCAGTAGGCAGTGGGATATGTTTAAAATATTGAAAAGATTGCCAATAAAGAATTTTACATACAGCAAAACTGTTCGTCAAAAATGAAGGAGAACTTAAGATACTCTTAGATAAACTGAGTGAGTTCTTTGTAGGAGACTTAACCCTGTAAGAAATAGTAGAGATTTCCAGCTCTCTGGAATCCCCTCCCACATGGTGGGAGCTCCCTTTCCCCTCTGGGATTTCCCCTCTAGAATCCCCTTCCACACTCTTCATAAGAAGTCTTCTCCTTTTCCTTCTCTTTTCTCTACCCAAATAAAATCACCTGTAAAAAAGAAAAAGAAATACTAGTGAGTTCTGCAGGCCAAAATAAAGGGATACTAGACTGTAATGTAAGTCCATAAAGTAATAAAAAGAACTGGTTAAGATAATCGTATCGGTATATTAAAAAGATAGTTTAGATGCATTTTTGTAAAGAATTTTTCTTCTGATTTAACCTTTTACTCATCTGTCCTCAGAACACTTGCTGGTGGCACTTGTGGCTGCAGTTGTTTACCCTGAGTTAACTTTGCCACAGAATATCTCGCTTTTATCATTATTTTCACATCACTCTAATATATCAACTTTGGAAACAAAAGACCTCATTCTGTCTATAGTATTTTGTTTTTAGTATGGTATTTACATTTACACAAATGAAAATCGGGAAAATTTGACAGATATATTATCGATCACTTAAAATGTCAAATCCTAGAAAGCATGGCATTCTTACGCGTGATGTTAACATTATACTCAAATGGTTCTGGCCAGAGATTCATTTGATGAATCCAGTTTCTTTAAAATAGACAATTTTGATGATTCAGACAATTCTGATGTACTTCTGTTTAGAAATAACTCCAAGGACAGTTTTATATTTTATTTTCACACTCAAAATCAGTCAGATTTGCAGTAGCCTTGAAGAGTGTGTTTATGTAAAATTAAATGAGCTCTGGCAGCAAGCTGCTCTTTCTTTTTCTAAACCAGAAAAGGATTGAAAGACAATTGACTAAAATAGTAATTCTGAACCCAGGAGGATAGAGGTTGCAGTGATCAGATTGCTCCACGCATTCCAGTCTGGGCAGCAGAGTGAAACTCTGTCTAAACAAACAAACAAAAATTCATCAGGCTTTTTTCACCAAAAAATCCTAAAATTTATATGAAAATGCCAAAGACCAGGGGACCCTAAACAATTTTGAAAAAGAACAACAGAGTTGGAAAATATTTCTTCCCAATTTAAAAACTTAAAGCTAGAGTTATCAAGACAGTTTGTACTAGTAGAATGGTAGATGTATATAGATCAATTGGTTAGAATTAAATCAGAAGTAAATCCTTATTTATCATGAATTCATTATCAGCAAAGGTGCCAAGGAAATTCATTCAGTAAAGGCGAGTCTGTTCAACAAGCAGTGTTAGTAAAACTTAATGTAATGTCACAGCCTTAGATGCAAGAACTAAAATAATTTTAGAAATAGGAGAAAATCTTTAATACCTTGGATTAGTCAAAGATTTCTTGTTTGCAACATGAAAAATGTGGTCTAGTAAAGAGAAAAAAGGGAATTTCACATCTAAGATTCAACACTTTTATTCTTTAAAATATACCATTAAGCAATTATAAACAAAAGCAACAGAATGTTTGAAAAAAAATTATAAAACATATATCTGAGAAACGCCTTGAGTTCAGATATTTTTTAAAATTCATGTAAACTGGAACCCTCATGTGTTGCTGATGGCAATAAAGAATGATGCAGTAAACAGTCCATTTCTTAAAAGTTTAATATTACCATATGGCCCAATAGCTACTTTTCTAGGTATCTACCCAAGAGATATGAAAACGTGTCCACACAAACACTTAATTGTGATTGTTCATATCAGCATTATTCATAATTATCAAAAAATGGAAACAAATGTCCATCACCTGGTGAGTTGATTGACAAAATGTGGTACATCCACATGGTGGATACTATTCAGCAATAAAAAAGAGCTGCTAACACATGTTGAAAAATAGTTGAACCTCAAATCAGAACATTATGCAACATGTAAGAAGCTATACACAGAAGCTACATTATATATTATTTATATAAAGAATTTATAGAGACAGACAGGAATAGAGGTTGCCTGTGATGGTAGATGGCAAATGAGTGATCTTATTGGAGTGCAAAAATCTTCTAAAACTGATATATGGTGATGGTTGAACTGCTGGTAAAATTTAGTAAAGATTGTTGAACTGTATACAATATTTTCAGCATGTGTATTTTATTATATACAAAATATATCTAAATAATGGTTTTTTAAGGCAAATGTGGGAAATAAGATTATATAGCATTATGTTTATCCAGATGTCCCAATGTTTATATTAACATTTTTTAATGAAGCCATTAAAACATAAAGAATGATTTTTAAGTTGTCTATTATTTTGAACCCTTGTTACTCTCTTTTTTAGAGCCTGTCTTATTTCTGAAAAGGATTTCTTTTCCTCAGTTTTCTGGCTGTTAGAGATTAGACATTATATGTGAAACTTTTAATGAAAAAAAAAAACAATTAAAATTTACTTTACTTTCCATTTCTGCGTTTACTACATTTATCTAATTTTATTTTGTTTTAGATCACTGTGTCCACTACTATGATCTTCGTAACACTAAACAGCCAATCATGGTATTCAAAGGACACCGAAAAGCAGTCTCTTATGCAAAGTTTGTGAGTGGTGAGGAAATTGTCTCTGCGTGAGTATTACTCTACTCAGAGATTGAGCTTAATACAGAGCTCTGTACTTAACTTACTAGTTTGTAATGTCACTGAGGGTGTATGTAAACTATAATATTGGAGTGTATGTACTTTTTCTTAAATAGTAGATTTTTTATGTCTTGTCCAATTAAAAGCGTTTGGGTTCCGATCTGTATTACACACTTTTATGTGTAATTTGTGGATAAAATCTGAAGACACTAGTTATTTATATACCCTCTCCCCTTATCTAATCTTCATATGTTTAGTCGCATTTGAACTGGATTAGATTTTAGCTACTGCTTCTCAAGAAGAGATAAACAACATAGTTAATGCAATGGAATAAGAAGTATTTTATTTATTAAAGTCAACTAATATTACATATTTTATCTACTTGCAGTATAGTCGTAGAATTATTTTTGGTTTTAAATATCACTTGTTTGGCTTTTACACTGACATGTTCATTTCTCTGTGATTTCATGGTGAGTTTTAAATATGTTAAAAAGAAAACTTTTTTTATTTTTTTCTGGGGCAGAGTCTTACTTTGTCACCCAGGCTTGGGTGCAGTGGTGTTGTCACGGCTCACTGCAACCTCTGCCTCCTGGATTCAAGTGATTCTCCTGCCTCAGCGTCTCCAGTAGCTGGAACTACAGGTGCATTCCACTATGCCTGGCTAATTTTTGCATTTTTAGTAGAGACAGGGTTTCACCATATTGGCCAGGCTGGTCTTGAACTCCTGACCTCAGGTGATCCACCTGCCTCGGCCTCCCAAAGTGCTGGGATTACAAGTGTGAGCCACCATGCCCAGCCAACAGATGAACATTCTAACTCAGTCTGGCTCCAGAGCAAACTGCATTGCTTCTAATTAGCAGTGATGAGTTTCGTGACAAGAAATTTTAACTATGTTCTTACTCTTTGTACTTTTCCTCAGCTCAACAGACAGTCAGCTAAAACTGTGGAATGTAGGGAAACCATACTGCCTACGTTCCTTCAAGGGTCATATCAATGAAAAAAACTTTGTAGGCTTGGCTTCCAATGGAGATTATATAGCTTGTGGTAAGTGAAACCATCGTTTCCAGGAACTTTTTTAACAGGTATTTGAAATTCAATTCAATGGAAATAGACTACTAAGGAAAAGGTCTGTGCACTCAGAAGATAGTATAATAGGCTTGATGCCCCAGCACTATTGATTTTCCTCGTGTAGTACTAGAAGAGCATTAGTCCTTCTCTTTTTTATTGTGTACAAACCCTGAACACCTGAAATAACACGAAATTTTTAACTGTTTTACGGTCATTCTCCATTATAACATAATTCTTTAGATATTGTTTAGGAGACAGAAAAGATTAAGTTCTATTAATAATATTTCCAATCTTGGAGACATTATGTGTCTTCTAAATTTGATATTCATTTTTCTCTATCTGTTCTTCTCTTCATGAAGTAATCTATTTGCTTAGCATTGATCTGTTATTCTAGGACTTTTATTGTTGATAATTTATACAAATTTAAATAAGAAATAGAAAAATGAAATTTGATATTTGAAGGCTCAGATATGTCTAATGCATTGAATATATGAGCTTTGATCATTACTTTTAAATGACTTGGCCTTTATTCAGCACAGTTTACTTTCTCCAAGTATGTATGAGAATGCCAAAGCAAATATCTGCAACAATTATCCTATCTTAATAGATGGCTCAAAATTACAGTTCATAGACCATTAATAGAATAATTCCTATACTGAGAAATGGAAATAAATTGTGTATGCTGTTAAAATTTGCCTATGTAAGTGCCACGACTTTCTTTTACTTCTCTAAATGGAAATCTTTCTAAATGTAATTTAAGATCCTTGCTGTAATAACATATTTCTGATTCTACTATAGGCTTATTATTAGGTTGGTGCGAAAGTAATTAAAAGTAATGACAAAACCACAATTACTTTTGCACCAAGACTGGCCCTTCTAGAGACAGTGCCAACCAGACCATGGTCTACTGCTCTCCATACTGCAGCATCCTGAGCCCAGAGTCCAGCCAGGTGAGGGCTCATACAGCCTCTCAGCATGCAGTGCAGCCCAAGTATAGATGCCCGCTGTGCCAGGAGCAGCTGGTGGGCCGGCCTGCCCTGCACTTCCACCTTAGCCACCTTCACAATGTGATGCCGGAGTGCGTTGAGAAGCTGCTGCTTGTAGCTACAACTGTAGTGATGACATTTACAATGAAAGTGCTGTCTGGACCCACATTAAGCCCTCTGGATGATGGCCAAGAACCCCCAACTCATGGGCCAGAGCCTACACGCGGAAGAGACCAGGCAGCAGAAGGCCCTAACCTGACCCCAGAAGCCAGTCCAGGATCCTCTTCCTCAGCCTCCCCTGGCCTCAGCTGAGGCCCCAGACAAACCCTCGGGAAGCCCTGGTCAACCCCCTTCTCCAGCCCCATCTCCAGTCCCTCAGAAAAAAAAAAAATGATATATATAAATGATTTTATAGGGTAATTTCAGCCTTAGAATGATCAGTGTTGTTATATCATTCAACACTGATTGTTTCTTTAGATTAGTAAAGTATAGCTTTTGTCCAAGAATCCTTTTCTTACATAATTTCTAATTAGTCCTGTGATCTAGCCTTTCAAATTTGACCATAAAAGATCTTTGACCTAAAACTTTGGGTGATAATTACTATTGGAATGTGATGCTCTAATTCCAAGCTTTCCTATTCTAAAATATTATTATTGTTTATTTTCAGGAAGTGAGAATAACTCTCTCTACCTGTACTATAAAGGACTTTCTAAGACTTTGCTAACTTTTAAGTTTGATACAGTCAAAAGTGTTCTGGACAAAGACCGAAAAGAAGATGATACAAATGAATTTGTTAGTGCTGTGTGCTGGAGGGCACTACCAGATGGGGTAAGTTTTCATATCAGCTTTTTTCACCTTCGAGTCTCATATCATGCATTATGAATACACAGGGTTTAATTAAATTTTAAAATATAAATTGGTATGTGGTATGTACTTTTTTCAGTTTATAATGTGTCATCAAAGACAATAGTCATTTTTAGGTAGTGATTGAAAGGCACAGTAATAGAGCAATGTCATGGTGTCATTGTGTCCCTCTGACCCATAGCATCTAGTGCATATCTCAGTTATAACCATTATCATATTGTCTCTTTATATCTCTTCTATAAGACTGGAAATTCCTCCAAAATACACATTCTGTCTCATCTTCTTTATTGATTATGTGCAGTATATGCTTGATAAACGTTAAGCTGAGCTGGTATGTTAATAGAAAGAAAAAGAATTTAGGTAAAGGAGAGTGGCCTATATGTTCCTCTAATTAAATACTATTTCACAGTAGAGTTGCTCTCTATAAAGTACATTTATATACAAATATTTAAGCATGTTTAGTTTCTTGATGAGAAAGTTATACTACTGGGTTGTATAAAGAGAAGTTGCCTTAAACTTTACTATTATGTTTTAAAGTGTAGGGTTTTCCATAAGTTATATGAAAAACTAATTTTTGTTACTATCGTGATTTATATAAACATGAGTTGTTAGTATTGTATTTTTAAAATAGCTTTTTACATGCTTAGTCGGTTTTATTTTTGATGAAGAAATTCTGACTATGTAATTTTAAAATTCAAATTTCAGATATAGTTTCAGTTTAATTAGATATATTCTGTTGCTGTCTTATTTAAAGTTTCATGGGTCCATTTCCAGTTTTGCTAATTGACATACTAGAAAATTTGGACCAACCCTTCCTCCAAGTAGAATTAGAAAAGTAGGACCAAATATATGTATTTTAAAAACAAAAACCTATTTGAAAGCATTGGAAAGCACACAAATACAGGAAAGAATGACCAGATTAGGATTGTGGCTTTTGAATCTGCTTTTCCCCTGTGAGCATTTGTCAGTTTTGGTGGAGTGGGTGAAAGCACTTACACTAGCTTGACAGGGTTGCAGAGACTGGAGCTTAGCGCCTGTCATTGTATGGGTGACTACTTTGTTTTAAGTCCCCAAACAGATATAGTATAGGGGAAACCAGTAGAAGATAAAGCTTCATAGCAATTGCATCTAAACTTCATATCAATCTCTGAAATTGAATTGAGGTGACCCTTGGTTGGTAATATCCACAGGATGCAAACTTAAATCCTCTCTGAACAAAGATAAGATCATCTAAGGGCTTAATTTATTTTTTTTTCAGTTTTGTAACTACAGTAACTAGGGTACAATCAAAAATAAACAGACATAGTAAAAGATAAGACAGCATAAATTAAACCAGCATAAGCAACAGGCTATAGAAAATAATATTGTCTGATAACTCCAATATTTAGAGTCACAGCAGCTCCAAATATTAGAGTTACCAGACAGCTTGAAAGTAACTGTGCTTACAACATGAAAGACAAGACTGAAAATTTTAACTGAGAACTGGAAACAATTTTTAGAATGAAAATCCCAGAGTTGAAAAAAAATTACAAAAGTTAAGAATTAGTGGATGTGTTGAATGGAAGACAAAGTAAAAATAAGAATTAATGAACTGATAAGTAAATTAGGAGAAAATACACATATGGAAGCATGAGAAGATAAAATGATGGAAAAGTACAGATATCAGATAAAGGATCAAGTAAGAACCTATAACATCTTCAATAGTTGACCTACAAGGAGGCAAGAGAAATAATGCAGCTAGAGCAAATATTAGAAGGGATTATTGTTGAGAACTTCAGTTGATACATGATACCAAGGCAGAGATTCAGTAAGCCTTTCAACTGCAGAGAAGGAATGACTAGAAATCTACAATGTGATTGAAGGTAGAATGTCATACTTAGACTTTTAACAGACGTAGGCCTGCCTGAAAATCTGACCTTGGGCCTGGCTTCTTACAGCACTATTTCCTTGTAAACATCCTGAGTTAAGAGAAACATGGAATGTTATATACCAGGAACTAGATATCTCTTAAATTTACTATGAACACTTATCTGTGGCATCACACCTGGACTGAGTGAGAGAACTCTGAATTGGCATAAGGGCCCTACATCTATGAAAATTAAATAGTGTAAGATTGGCAGGAAACCAGGACACATCTGTGGATTGAGGTAAACCACATGCACCTCAACTGTCTCTGGCAATAGTGAGTACTGTTTGTGTATGTGGGGGAATGATTGTTTGGCGTCTTTAAGAGTTTTAAGATACTGTGTGCTAAATTCTATCCTATATCCTTCTATAAATCTAACTGAGGGCTAGATTAAAGCCTATTGTATCTAATCCTATGACCCCTACCAGTGGTAGGATGGTCACACCTTGCAACATAGTAAGATTGCTGAAAATAGCTAAAATACAGAGAGTGTATTAGCCTGTTTTCATGCTGCTAATAAAGACATACCCAAGACTGGGCAGTTTACCAAAAAAAAGTTTATTGGACTCACAGTTTTGGCTGAAGAGGCCCCACAATCATGGCAGAAGATAAAAGGCATGTCTCATATGGCAGTAGACAAGAGAGCTTGTGTTCCCTTTTTAAAACCATCAGATCTCATTAGACTTATTCACTATCATGAGAGTAGCAAAGGAAAGACCTGCACCCATGATTCAAGTACTTCCCACAGGGTCCCTCCCAAAGCACATGGGAATTAAACATGAGATTTGGGTGAGGACACACCTAAACAATATCATTTCACTCCTAGCCCCTCCCAAATCTTGTGTCCTCACATTTTAAAACCAATCATGCCCTCTCAACAGTCTCCCAGAGTCTTAACTTATTTCAGCTTTAACTAAAAAGTCCAAAGTCCAGCGTCTTATCTGAGACAAAGCAAGTCCCTTCGCCCTATAAGCCTGTAAGATCAAAAGCAAGTTAGTTAATTCCTAGATACAATGGGAATGCAGGCATTGGGTAAATACACCCATTCCAAATGGGAGAAATTGGCCTAAACAGAGGAGCTACAGGCCCCATGAAAGTCCAGAATGTGGGGCAGTCAAATTTTAAAGTTACAAAATGATCTCCTTTGACGCCATATCTCACATCCAGGTCATGCTAATGTAATAAGTGGGTTCCCATGGTCTTGGGCAGCTCCACCCCTGTGGCTCCCAGGGTACAGTCTCCCTCCTGGCTGCTTTCACGGGCTGGCATTGAGTGTCTGTGACTTTTCCAGGTGAATGGTACAAGCTGTCAGTGGATCTATCATTTTGGTATCTAGTGGATGGTGGTCCTCTTCTCACAGCTCCACTAGGTGGTGCCCCAGTAGGGACTCTGTGTGAGGGCTTCAACCCCATATTTCCTTTCTGCACCGCCCTAGCTAAAGTTATCCTTGAGAGCCCCATCCCTGCAGCAAACTTCTGCCTGGATATCCAGGCATTTCCATACATCCTCTAAAATCTAGGCAGAGCTTTCCAAACCTCAGTTCTTGACTCCTGTACACACGCAGGCTCAATACCACATGGAAGCTGCCAAGGCTTGAGGCTTGCACCCTCTGAAGCCATGGCCTGAGTTCTGTTTTTGCCCCTTTTAGTCATCACTCGAGTGGCTGGGACATGGGACACCAAGTCCCTAGGCTACACACAGCATTGGAACCCTGGACCCAGCCCAAGAAACCACATTTTTCTTCTAGGCCGTCAAGCCTGTGGTGAGAGGGGATGCTATGAAGACCTCTGCCACAACACTGGAGACATTTTGCCCATGGTCTTGGGGATTAACATTTGGCTCCTTGTTACTTGTGCAAATTTCTGCAGCCAGCTTGACTTTCTCACCAGAAAATGGGATTTTCTTTTCTGTCACATTGTGAGGCTGCACATTTTTCAAACTTTTATGCTGTGTTTCCATTATGAAACTGAATGTCTTTAATGGCACCCAGGTCACTCTTGTATATTTTTGGCTTATAAATTCCTTCTACCAGATGGCCTAAATCATCTATCTCAAGGTCAGAGTTTCACAGATTTCTAGGGCAGGGGTAAAATTCCACCAGTCTCTTTGCTAAAACATGACAAGAGTCGTCTTTGCTCCAGTTTCCAACAAATTCCTTATCTCCATCTGAGACTATCTCAGCTTGGATTTCATTGTCCATATCATTATCAGCATTTTGGTCAAAGCCATTGAACAAGGCTTTAGGGAGTTCCAAACTTTCCCACATTTTCCTGTGTTCTTCTGAGACCCCTAAACTGTTCCAATCTCTCCAACTTCGGCCTGTTAACCAGGTCCAAAGTCACTTCCACATTTTGGGGTATCTTTTCAGCAGCACCCCACTTCTCGTACCAATTTACTATATTAGTCCATTTTCACACTGCTGATAAAGGCATACTTGAGACTGCATAATTTACAAAAGAAAGCGATTTATTGGATTCACAGTTCCATGTGGCTGGGGAGGCTTCATAATCATGGCAGAAGGTGAAAGGCACGTCTCACATGACAGCAGAAAAGAGAAGAAAGCTTGTTCAGAGAATCTCCCCTTTTAAAACCATCAGATCTCATGAGACGTATTCACTATCACAAGAACAGTTTGGGAAAGACTTGCCCTCATGATTCAGTTACCTCCCACTGGGTCCTTGCCACAGCATATGGGAATTTAAGATGAGATTTGGGTGAGGACACACCCAAACCATATCAGAGGAGTATTTTTCATTCCTTTAAACCATCCGTTTCTTTTCCTTTTGGCAAATAATAACTGTAAGTATTTATGGGGTACAATGTGATATTTTCATGTCCATGTACATTATGAAATGATTAAATCAAATTTCTGTAGCCAGTTTGAATTTATTCCCAGAAAATGGGATTTTATTTTCTATCACATTGTGAGGCTGCAAATTTTTTGAACTTTTGTGCCATTTTTCCCTTATGAAACTGAATACCTTTAACAACACCCAGGACACCTCTTATATACTTTGCTGCTTAGAAATTTCTTCTACCAAATACCCTAAATTATCTC